AGACAGTCCACCGCCGAGGAGGGGCAGGATCTCGGTGCACAGATTGATGATGTGGACCACTACACATTCGACAAGCGAGGTTTGTCTCTCTCTGTTCCTAAATCTATCAAGACTGACTTAGCTGACAAGCTGCTGCGAAAAGAGACCTGACTGGATTTAAAGCTGCGTTAGCTTACTCGATGAACGCCCTGATGGCCGGACCCGAGGTGCAGTTGGGGACAGGCGCGCACGGATCTGGCGTTGGCATTATACAGAAGGCCGGCGGAAGTAAGACCGCACCTTCTGGAGGCGGAACTCATTAGGCTTAATAAAGCGATGGTGGCAGAAGGAATTTTAATCGTGTAGTTTGTTCCAATCCCCGAACGATGAATTGGTGGACTATTATCCTCATTCATTCTTTAATATTCAGATATCTTTATATCAATATAGAATCGCCGGTGATGTTTATCGCTTTATTGAAAATATACTGGTATAACTAAAGGTTGTTGGTTGGATTTGGTCATTTCCATATATAAGGTCAGCAAATACTTTCTCTAGAAAGTCATATCCAGTATTTTGAATATAATCAGGAATTTCAAAACCATCCTCGGCGCAGGATATCCTCCCAATTATTTTTGCTTATTAGGTATCTTACCTATTCTCAACAAAGTAGGTAAGTGACGGCCTTCATTTGATGACGGCTTACGTAACGCAGCGCCTGCTTTTGGGAATTCTACGATTCGAAACGAAATCTAAAAAACAACAAACATCCGCCCTCGAGATAAAAATTCCTTTTCTAGAAGATGCCCCGAGAATTCGAACAGATTGTCGTAGATAGACTCATCTCTTCCCTCCCGAATCTTACGTTCCTCAGGCCCTCCTCGCCAGGCTACTCGGACCATCGGATACGATGGTCAATCATGTGGCACAACGAGCCTGTTCGTACCCTCCTGCTATCCTACAATGATTTTCCTCTGACAATTCTCTAGGGTCTCATAATCCTCCCAACATCGGCGGAAGAAATTTCCACGGTCGTTGATTTTGCACGGTCTCACTGCCTCGATCTGGCAGTATGTTCCGGCGGCTACGGCCAGCTCGGCTCTTCATCTACCGTGGGCGGAATCCTGATCTCTCTCTCGAGGCTCAGCTCCGTATCAGTAGACCCTGCCAATAAAACGGCACGGGTTCAGGGAGGAGCAAAATGGGGATCCGTGTACTCCGTTTTGGAAGAACACGGACTCGGCATCGTGGGAGGGGTTGCGAATTCTGTGGGGGTTGGGGGGGTGAGCTGCACTGCGGGCTTCGGGTGGTTGACTGGACGGCATGGCCTTGCGATTGATAACATTTTGTCAGTTGAGATGGCGCTTGCTAACGGTCAGATCGTCACTGCTTCGCCTACGGAAAACGAGGATTTGTTTTGGGGTGTCAGAGGGGCCGGGGCTTGTCTAGGAATCGTGACTTGTTTTGAATTTAAAGCCCACGAACAGAAGGAGATGTGTTGGATGGCGAATTTGGCATTCGGTCGTGAAGCGATTCCTCTTTTTCTTGAAGTCGTAGACAGGATACTCGCAGGAGAAGGGAAAGGTGATTTTTCTACCTCTATGAGATGGGGCCCAGCAACCGAGACTTCGGAACCAGTTATCAGCGTCGAACTATTTCATAATGGTCCCGAGGAGACCGGGAAAATTTTCTTCGCATCACTGCTGGCAGTGGATCACGATGTCATCTCCATGGGGGTGAAATCACTTTCGCAATGTGGCTTTGACACTCCACCTTCGTTACGCCAACGTCAAATTCCGAAAGATGCGCCTCATGTGGCTGGAACGAGCGCAGAGCATATGTACCGCCTCTACGATGAGTTTCTCTGCTTCCAACGACAAGATAATTTCAAGTCGACTACGCTAGCCTGGGTCGTTCATGACAGGGGGAAAGTCACCAGCATTGGGCAGCAAGAAACAGCATTTGCAAATCGTGGCAATTTCGGTGATCTCATCATCTGTCCAACCTGGGATAGCGAGACTGAGGACGAAGCCGGCATGGCCTGGGCTGAGAAGATTTGGAATACGGCGATGGAGGAGTTCGAGCGGGTCAAACGAAACACGGAGGGTTTCGACGAGGGAACGATGAGTGCAGTAGGGGAGTACGCGCCTCATGATGGTCAGTCAATCCGACAAAAGCACTCTCTCGAGCATGTTCGCTTCGACTCACATGTGTATAGGCCGACGAGGAGGAGCAAAATACATCTATGGGATGAACTTTGACCGGCTGGTAGAAATTAAAAGGCGACATGATCCGGGTAACATGTTTTACAAGTTCGTGGATTTACTTTCCGAGTAGTGCTTTCCGGATCGTTCTTGGTGCAAAAATTGGGGAAAACATTAGATTGGAAGAACAAATATATCAAAGAACAAATATATCACAGAACAAAAATATATCAAAGAACAAATATAGATCGCTGTTGGGATCTGTATTTACTCCACCCCGCCCCTCTCCTATTAGCCTCGCTTGGGCCAGCCGAACGAATTGTCAGCCAAGATCCGAATCCAGAGGCAAAAAGCAAAACAAAAGGTCAGGTCAGGAATGTACTTAGCTTTTCGGCTGTACCTTCCCAGTATGGAAGCTCAGCGGTTAAGTCTTTCCGAACCACCAACTATGAAAGACTAGCTTGATCGAGCAATGCCCTTTTTTTATATTATCGCGCTTAGCGAACAGGACCGCGTAGAGCGCCAGGTGCGCGAGACACAACTTCCAGGGGCTGTGATACATGCATGCATTGGAGATGCATGCATGTCATATCAACAACGGCATTGTCGAGAAGGTTTGAGAAATGCCCGCTACGTACAGTACTGTAGTACTGTACTGGGGGCGGGCGTGGAGGCGTTGCATGCATGCATGAATGACACAATTAGCCTTTTTGGGGGGAGATGATTTTATTGCTTTTTTTTTTCTGTTTTCTGTGTTGGGTGAGGGAGAGTGATCAGAGGGGAGGAGAAGGAGGAGCTGCCTGCCTGTCTGTCTGCTAGAAGTGTAGGAGATGACGGATGGATTGGGATTCGGAATTTAAATTCATTGATGATCGTGATGTCTGATAATGCTTTGTATCGACATGTACATTACTTTGGGTGCTTTTATATAAATATATATATATATGTGTGTGTGTGTGTGAGTGTGTGTATGCTTATTTCAGAACACGGCCAGGAAACTCTGCAGTACATATAGACGAGCAGAAAAACCCATCGAGCTTTGAATATTCGGCCGTAGACAGGTAGATTTTCCTCACTGTAGCAGCTATAAAATAAGAGCGTAGTATCTACGTAAATTTGCAAAGTAACACACTTTATCATTCCTTAATTTGCTTGGGAAAGCGATCACGACGCCATTCATCCCGTCCCAAGGACACTGACAACTCCGTGCCCACGAGATTCTCGTTTCCAGAGACGCCGTCTACCACACCCAGACATATACAAAAAGGGGGAGGGAGGTTATCTTGCGTCGTGGTAGTACGAGCCCAAAACCAAAGATCCAAATCCAGACTGACTTCATATGAGACTCTCTTGCGCCCGACTTTACTGCCCGAACTTTTGTATTCCTTCTACGGCCAAGAGTTCCCCTTGGTAGAAAACCGTACCCTTATAGCGCGCTCGTTTCCCTTATAGGAAGAAGAACATGCATCACAGATGACTTCCATACTCATAGTATTCCGTTGCAACGCCTCCCACCTGTGATGGCACGAATGATTCTCTGCCGTCAGTGGACCAAGCCACACTCCGCCGACAACGACATTTCTTACTGCGGTGCCCCCCCCGTCCAGCCGGAAGACGGGATAGTCGATTGGGAAGAGCTCACGGAGCCTGCCGCTACTGATGCCGTATTCTCGGATTGAGATTCGCAGAGCTTCAGCATGGCCTCGGCGTGGTGTGCAGGCGTCGGGTACCACCCCTTGGGCAATGTCTTCGGGTCCAGTTTCAGGATCGCCCGACGGTACTTCTCCTTCTCTGCGCGACGTCGGGAAATCAGCATCCATGCATTACGTGACGCAATGAGTGAAGACGAGTGCTTTTTTCGGGGGAGGGAAGGGGGACTCACTGGTCTGCGCAAAGTCGAGGTCCTTCCCGTCGAGGATTTTCTGAGCCATGGCCTTGTGCGCGGGACTGACCCAGTCCCAGTAGATGGCCCATTCGGGGTGCTTCTCGACGAGCTTGAACGGGATGTCCTTGTGCTCGGCATCTTTCTTGTCCCGGATCTTGCAGTAGATGTATTCGGGCTTGCCTTCCGCGTCGTAGACGGGGCATCCCTCGTCATCCATCACTGGAACACGGTGGTCTCGGTAGAGACGGCTGCTGAATTGCTGTCCATCACCGCGTCTGTCTTCTAGCTGCGGAAATTGGCGCAGCCACATGGCGTACATCTGGTGATAGTGCATATCGCAGTCTATACGGTGATATCGGAGCCAATGCATCTGCTCCTGGGTGTATGCCCGGTTAGACTGGGTTCCGGTCAGGTTTCTCTTTTTTCTCATTACAGCGAAAGATATAGATGGCCTGGTATACCCCGGAGGCAGTCTTGAACGACGGTGGGAGAGGCAGTGGTGACGGTGCCGCGGTGCATGAATGGTGTTTGTCTGCCGGGCTGCGCTAATCAGAACTGTCTCGCAAGATCTCTGCAGCGTGAGGACTTGAGCATATCCTGGACCTGATAATGTTCGATGTGAAGGCATTGAATATTGCTGTTCCGGAGCCAACTGAATTGGGGGAAGCTGGCTATAGACTTGAGCAGGAGAAGGACGATGAAACCACGGGATCTCTCCGTCAATTTCCATGGGCTGAGGCGTATGAAAGCGTCGAAGCTCCGAATCTGATGAGCTGTCTGTCATCTCATCATCCTCTTGTATCATCATCTCATCTTCGGACCTCGGTGGCGTGGGATATGGATTGAGTATGCTTGAAAGGTCCATAGGGCTTTGGACTGTGGCCACACGAAAGTCGATAGTCATGACTGTTTCTGGCGAGCACTGAGAGTACCACATAGTTCCAGCTTTTCAGAGTTCCGAAAGGATCTGAATCGTACACCGCAAACAGAAAAATTCTTGGGACAAGGTCGATGATCTCACACTCAACACAGCTCTTGAAGCCTAAGAGGGGATTCGGATTACCGTGGCTTTTTATATTTAAGAGCAGACAGTAGAGCATGCGGAACTACAAGCGTGACAAGTAGGACTGTGTTGACTTGAAATAGTCCAGCAGTCATAACACGCCGGGAGAAGCCTTTCCCTGGAACATTATGGCTGATCCAGAACGATCGACTGGGGACAAGGAATGAGTGCAGATATCGCTGCAGACGAGATAGACTAAGAATGTGACAGACTGTAAATGATAGCGTGGGAGCAATGATTGTATTGTAGAATGAGTCGAACCAGAGTGCCGGGTTTCCAAAAGAAAGAAGGTCATAACGATCCCTCAGTCTATCACTGCGCTAAAGCCGCATATAGACCGATGTGTTCGTTTCTCACCGACACTTGATGTGTTATTACTTCCTCAACTTCAGCATGCATTCACGGTAGTACCGAAACGGCCATAAAGTAGCAGATCGAAGGGTCTTCTTGTCGCTTATTGTGTATGCGGTCGGTAATTATTTAACTTTATAACCAACCCCATGTTGTGTAACTACCGACAGTCGTGGTTGACATTCCGATTCGCTCAACCATTGTAATGGACTCGGCAGGCACAAGTACCGTAATATCACAACTTTATACTTGGCTGCATTGCATAGTCCTCTGAAGATGCTTGCTTCGGACGTGACTTGCAGAAACATCTCAATGTGAGATGATCATGAGTACTGAATTGCCTCAAAAGCCTGGGTTCATGTCCCCAATTCTGATTAAACGAGCGCTTGCTCCCGAGAGTCGAGATTTCAGCATACGTGGTGGTGCCGTAAATAGTATTGGGGCCTCTTCGTCTCATCAGCGATATCCGTATCATTCTGTGCCGCACTGTCGCTACTGAAGATTCCAGCTTACTCCACAGCTTCGCGGAGTATTCAACGGCATTGAGCACTGCCGCGCTTCCATTTTCCGGGCGGGTATGCTGATCTCTTCATCAACATCCCTGTCTCGGGATCTGCAAGCGGCGGTAACAATGAAAATGATATATTTATGCAGACACACTTTGGGAATTACAAGTTGGAGGGCGTTGTAATGCGTAAGATAGAACATTCCTGCACAGCATACCATGGCGGTGTGGCCCTGCTGGAAACCCCCGCGTTGTCTCTTGGAGCAAAACCGCGGAGTGCGCTTTTGGGTCCAGACTCTAAAGCTGACGGCCAGCAGCAATACGTAAGTATGGATGCTTTTTGCGGTCAACATACTACATGTGAACAGAAACGGCGCGTCAAGAAGACGGTCGTGCGCGGAAGGATCCCGAGCAGCGGGACATGCATTTACAAAAAGAAAATATGGATGACGATACCGTATCCCAAATCAACCCCAGAAGCCGGTAATGAATAGCAAGTGCCGCGGGATAAAGTGATACAGTACAGTAGAAACCACTGTGCGACATCCTTGGCAGGAGATCTGAACGTTTTCCTTGCGTAATTGGCGCAGAAATAATCAGCTCCTAGTCGAGCCGTAGCTGCTCGGGGAACTCTGCCTATGTCATTGGACGATGTTCTATCCGTTCTGAAGAAGAAAGAGTTTGCATGTTGAAATATCTGGGCTTCTGGGCTTCTGGGCTTCTGGGCTTCTGGGCTTCACCGCCAGCAATGGGATCCAGCCCACCGAATGATTATTGCATACACGAGCGATTTGGACCACCGAAAGTGGATTTGCCGGGAAGTGGCGCATGCTGCGTGATTGAACATTTGTTACTGACTTTCGAGCGGGAACTCTACATTCCGACACAAATTCGACGATGCAATTGTGGAATTCAGATATGAATCAAGCGGGAATCTTCTGCAGCGATCGACATGTTTCCAAGCGGAGCATTGAGCAAGACATGCGCGTTATCCAACGACCATAAGCGCTTCAAGAGTCGAAGGAGCTCCGACCTTCGGCAAATAGGATACCGGTACAGCCCAGGTGTGGCAAATAAGGAAAAGCTCTTACATAACTCAATGCCGCGGAGCAGAATGTAAGAAGTAAGAAACGATAGAGTAACGCCATCAGTCTAGAACCTTTAAGCAGAGATGAGGAACAGATCTTGACCGCTCCAGAAATCGTCCGCAATGATATTATGACACCAGTTGCGGAGTTAATCAAGCCAAGTCGAGACTCAGGAGAAAGATGGATACCCAAGGTGACAGGGCGAGCATCTCTGATGGTTCGAGTGAAAAACAATATCCTCGAACGCTTAACGGTGTTCTGCTGCAGAATACGAAAGAACAAATAAATCAGACGCAAATGAAAAGCTTCAAGCGTGGCCAATGCGAAACCCAGGCTCTGTGTACCATCAGATCCAGGAAATACTGTTTCAAAGCCCACACAAGGATCAGACTGCGTCCCTTCAAATGATGGGGAGTGAGTGAGTATGCGGGAGATAGACACCCATTCAGAGAGCCATGGTCTCAGTATCATTCTTCAGACTCGGACCTTCGATGGACTTGGTATGTGGGCGAGAAATATGCATCAGGGAAAAGCAAAGCCCTATACTCGGTCGACTAGACACGGACATGGAGTTTAAGCGCTTGCCTAGAGGTATTTTGATAGACCTGTCTTGTAACGTTCGTTGGTTCGTTGGTTCGTTGGTTCGTTCGTTCGTTCGTTCGTTCGTTCGTTCGTCGTTCGTTCTGCAATGTGAGGTTGAGATATCTGAAGCCGTGTTTGCCGGAGGAAAAAGATCCGGGCTCTAGCGTGTTTTAAGGCGCGTTTCTCAACAACCACAACCTCAACAAGACCAGATCATGTTTGAGAATTTACTACGCCTGGCAGAGACTTCCTATGCAAAGTTCATATTAGAATCAAGATCGGCAGTCCTTCCAGCGCGGCAAACAACGTGATTGTACACTGAAACCGTACACCGGAAAAACAGGCCCAGAACCGCAACGATGACCTCCCTCACGGAATTCCCTCTCTTTTCAGACCTGCCCAGCGAGTTACGCCTCAAGATCTGGGGCATGACTATCCATAATCCTCGAGTCGTCCATATCAGCTGCCAGAAGGCCATTAACAAACTGAGGAGGGAGCCAACACGCTACGTTGAAGCCTTCTTCTCAATTACCCCGCCAGCCGCAATCAACGTCTGTCACGAATCGCGCTTCGAGGCGCTTGCGACCTACAAGAAATACTTCCAGACCGAGCATTCGCCCAACTACGTGTATCTGGCCCTGGACCAGGACACTATACGATGCAGCGATAACATCTTGGAGCACTTCGGCCCGGTCGAGAAGAGAGGGATAGAGAGGTTGATTTTGGACATCGCAGACGCGGGCTACTTTGGGCATTTCAACATGTCGATCATCAAAGATATGGTGTGCTTGAAGGAGTTGGAGCTGTACACCGATGAGGGAGACCTAGAGTCTTGGAGGGGCGGAAATGAGCGCATTCTCCATGGGGATTTCGATAGGGAAAGACACCACGATCCTGGATGGGTGTGCCCCCTTGTGCGGATCATCAATCGGGATACAGGAAAGGATATGGGTGTCATTGCAAGTGCTGCTTTGATTCCTGGCTGGAAGGCAGGGTGGGTTGCTGGTTTGGATACATCGTGAGCTCTGCTAATAGTCCACAGTGATCACAATCCCTTGCTGGATTGAAATTGAGGCGGCTCGTTCCTGGCAGCATTCCCATACGTCAAAAGAGCTGACGATGCATTCACCAAGCGTGCGATTAATTAGCTAAAGTCATGTTTTAGGTACCGATGCTTGTACTAATAGTATATTGACATGTCCAGAGTTATGAAAGTGGGGGGAGAATCCCTCGATTGTCCTGGTCTATATTACGATATATTCCATGGCAATTAAGGAAAACCCTAATTGACCCGCCTGTTCAATTCTCCCTCGAAAAACAAGCCCCTGAAACTCCAGGATCCTTCAACAAAATCGCCAATTTCATTACAGATTGTTTCGGAACCTCCCTCTACATCGTGATCACATCATGGCCTCGAAAGCTACCAGGAAAGTCTGCGAGCTATTGAACTGGAGGTAATGACTCGCCGATCGATCGATACTCGCGTTGAGCAGCCGAACTTTGGCCTCCGATTACTGGGCATATAGATTCTGCCTCTCTCCGAATGAGTGTTGTGATTCGCGCTTCTGGCGTCAGGTTTCCTCTGATATGCGATGTTTGGATATTAAGAGCTTTGCCGGACAATCAACATCGAGCAGATCACTTAGGTCTCTTGAAATAGTCCGGCATAGCTTTTGAACTCGGGTATTATTATGCTCGCTGCCGACTACAAAACCACACAGTTCTCGGCTCGTCTCTGAAAAACCGAGATCTTCGAGGAAGCAAAATTGGGTGTGCCCGGGGGGATTTGCATCCCGGTCCCACAGTATTTGTTGGGCATTTCACCTCTCGGGTGGATCCGGGCGAGTTACCGAGTTCCCTACATGATTTGCACGGTGCGTGATTTGACTTCCGTAGAGATAAGGCCAAATCTGTTGCACCAATCAACCAGTTGATACGCATCTTATTTTCAAATTGGACCATGAAGCGAATGTACAACTACCGGTAGAGCCAACTCGCGACTCGAGTCCGGAGCTGAAGGTTTTACAACAAAATTATGCCCTCCAATCAATTAATAAAGCAAGCCCTCACTTGATATAACCATCAACTCCCGAGTCAGTGCCAGGATTTATTCCACAATCAGGTTTCAGAAACCAGTTGCTCGGAGATTTTCGCAACAAGCATTTTCGGCCATGTGCCCGAGAGATCCAGCTCAAGCGAGTGGCAATCGTCCTCGTCCAGTCGATATCGACGGACCAGCAGCAGGACAATATGTGGAATTCCCACAGCTCCCAGATGATGCTTCCCGTGACGGACAGCCCATCTTGAACAAGTATTCGACAGTACGTAGTAGGAGAGGTCGTCTTATTTCCATTTCAGAACTTCCTCCACCAGACAATTACTGACTCGCCCTTGTTTATCCAATAGTTCATTACCCGAGAACATGACTATCCAGGAGCACAAGCGATGCTTTACGCAGCTGGAGTCCCTAATAAGGAAGCCATGAAGAACAGCCCTCACGTCGGCATAGCTAGTGTCTGGTTCGAAGGAAATCCTTGCAAGAAAGTAGATGCATTCTTGTTTGAAAGAGCGATGGCTAATGACTTACCAGTACACACCGTATTTCCTGACTCCTGGAATTTCTTTCTGATTATTTGTGGCCATGAACTGACACGATCCTCACAGTTCTTGATCTAGGCAAGGCCGTCAAGGCCGCAGTGGCTAAGGAGGGCTATCTTGCTTGGCAGTACAACACTATTGGAGTGTCGGATGGTATTACTCAAGGAAACGAAGGTCAGTCAAGTGCCGCGTTCTATGCTTCTTCCGCTGTTGCTCATGGTTTCAGGGATGCGATTCTCGCTTCAGTCACGAGAAATCATTGCCGATAGCATCGAAACCGTCACTTGCGCTCAACGCCACGACGCCTGCATTGCTATCCCAGGCTGTGACAAAAACATGCCTGGGTGCGTGATGGCGCTTGCTAGGCACAACCGGCCGTCAGTCGTCATGTATGGTGGCACCCAGGCGGGTGGATACAGTAAAGTGTTGCGAAAGCCCATCAACATCAACACTTGCTACGAAGCGCAAGGTGCTTATCTTTTCGGGACGCTGAAAGACTGGGCAGACAAAGGCTCATCTGCTACACCTGATGATATCATGTCAGACATCGAAAGAAACGCCGTTCCAGGTCCAGGTGCATGTGGCGGCATGGTATGTACAAATTTCTAGATGTTTTCGTTGAGATTCGAAGCTTTGTTAAGGGCGAACCGAGATCTCAGAGAAGTGAAGTCCAGAATCCGTATAGATTGAAGGCTAATCGTGCTAAAGTACACCGCAAACACTCTGGCAGTAATCATCGAAACACTCGGGCTATCGCTTCCCGGGTCCTCCAGCAACCCTGCATCTTCTCCCGCCAAAATGAAAGAATGTGCCGCTGTAGCGTCAGCGATTAAAACCTGCATGGAGAAGTCCATCAAGCCGCGCGACCTCTTGACAAGGGAGTCATTCGAGAACGCCTTGGTCGTGACCATGGCAGTCGGCGGCTCCACGAACAGCGTTCTTCACAGCCTCGCAATGGCGAGAACAGCCAACGTTCTCTTGACCCTGGACGATTTCCAGCGCGTCTCGAACAAGATTCCTTTCATTGCGAATCTCGCGCCGAGTGGGAAGTATACGATGGAAGATTTGTATGATATCGGCGGCACGCCTTCGGTTCTCAAGCTGCTGATCGCTGGTGGGCTGATCGATGGGAGCCTGCCCACGGTGACGGGGAAGACGCTCGCAGAGAACGTTCAGGCTTGGCCGTCGTTGCCACCGGGGCAAGAAATCATCCGATCCCTCGACAACCCCATCAAGCCGAGCGGCCACCTCGAGATCTTAAGGGGAAACATCGCGCCCGGCGGTGCAGTGGCCAAGATCACCGGCAAGGAAGGCGTCCGCTTCACGGGCAAAGCACGGGTGTTCAATAAGGAAAGTGAGCTGAGCGCTGCTCTGGCCAAAGGGAAAATCACCCGCGACGAGAATCTCGTTCTCGTCGTCCGGTACGAGGGGCCCAGAGGGGGGCCGGGGATGCCAGAACAACTCAAAGCATCGGCCGCCCTGATGGGCGCCAGATTGACGAACGTCGCGCTCATCACTGATGGACGATATTCGGGTGCAAGTCACGGGTTCATCGTTGGCCATATTGTACCCGAAGCGGCGGTTGGCGGGCCAATTGCGGTTATCCAGGACGACGATATCATTCATATTGATGCCGAGACGAACGAACTAAAGATGCCGTACGTGAGTGACGAGGAGATTGCAGAGAGGCTGCAGGCCTGGAAATCACCAAAAGCAACTGTTACTCGGGGGGTTCTGGCAAAGTATGCAAGACTGGTCGGAAATGCTTCCGAGGGGGCGATGACGGATCTTTGGTAGAGACGGTGTCTTTGGAAAAAAACGTCAAGAAAGAAAGAGGGGCTATTGGTCGGTACTTGCTCGAGTTTGATGAATGGATAGATTCATATAATGTACGCTTGCTTCGTACGGTAGACATTCTACATAGGCATATGCGTAATCTGATGGCGTGCACTCGTTATTTTCGCAGTATGGACGCCACTTATGCTCTTCTTCAAAACCTCGAGAAGATTCTTGTTTTTCCTACCCATGGATGCGCAACAGCATATTGGCCAACTTTCGTATTCGAAGCCTCCTATTAGAAACGATTGACTTTGCCATCGTATGATAAGGATGTGCATAGCAGGTATTCTTAGGGATTGAGATGTGCGGCAATTGTTGACATCTACGAAAGATCAAACAGAGACTATACTAATTTTGGCCGTACGAGGATAAGATGATACCCACGTATGTTAAATGTGGCTCGGGAAACGATATACCGGTTGTCGACTGAAGGGCTGCGGGGTTATAACTCAATTCCTCCCCCTTTTCGAAGGGGAAGGTTAGGCGAGCTTCTCGCTTATTTTTCTTCCTGTTTTGGGACTGGCTACTTGAACCTCTAGAGTAGCTTCGATGGAGGCAAGCAATTTACTTTTTTTTTGGAACCAATGTCTGCAGATCATTTAGAAGTATTCAACCTCATCTGTTCGGGTCGATAGACAAACTATCGTATGTTACCCGTCGTAATGGGTTTGGATTATTTTCCCCTTCGCCAACTCGGAGCTTAGCCTGGATGCGAAATCCCAAACCCAAACATAGCTGCTAGAAGCATTAACATGTCTCTAGCAACAGACGACTTCGCAATCGATACCTGCTTCACAAACGAGTTTGCCGATCCCACCCACTTCCCCGAAGCGGAAGAGATGCAGCTATCCGTAGTAAGCGCCAAGAGTACAGCCAAGTCCGAAAATAAGCAACGCATTTCAGGCTCGATATCCATAAAGCCTTTGTGTTCTGGGGATTCGAGGACGTAAAGTGTGGTTTCTGGTCTTTCTCAATCTCAAAATGAAGTGGCCATGCCAATATGGGCCTTGCGAAAAGCCCGCGCTCAGAGCTTTGGAAACTCTATGTGAGCTCTGCTATCGCCACCTCTGCGCCTAGGGGGTTGCTCATCAATTGTTCACTAGAGCTCATCCATAAGAGACAGTCCTATTGATATTAGTGACGTTCGCCACATTGGTAAAAATCTCGACTAATATATGTTATCAATATTAAAAAGGGGGGGGAGGAGAAGATGTTAAAGAAACAGCTGCTTGCATTAGACTTAAGAGGTCTATTACTAGGAATGAAATGCTAGAAAAACAGTTGCTTGCACTACTACACTTAAAGAGGCTACTATTAAGAATGAAATGCTAGAAGGACAGCTGCTTGCAGCGGACCTCAGGGACTATTATTAGGAATGAAATGCTAGAAAAATAGCTGCTTGTATCGGACTTAAGAAGAGCGGGTTGTCACCTTACCCTAGCTGACTAACCAACCCCACCCTTTTGGCAAGACTATGCCGAGACCGTAACAAAGGGAAAAGCGAAGTAAAGAATTAGGTGAATGGAACATAATAAGGTAGAGTCAATGATATAAGGGAATAAGCCAGAAGGTTAAGAATTATCAAATCTAATATTGTATGATTACAATTGCTATTTGCGATTATATCAAAAGCAAAAAAGAAATTGCGAGTATAAGAACACTAGGCTAAGGGAATCGGAATTAAGGATTCGGACACGAAGTTAATCGCCCGTGCAGCCTTAGCAGCTATCACAGCCATTATTACAACCATACTCTTACGAAGAGTAGCTTCTTCTTCCTTAGACTTAACAACACCAGGAATACAACCTAAAATATTCGTATCGAGACTCAACATGTGCACATACATCTTATATAGATACTAAAATATCTATCCCATCTTATTCCGTTGTATAATCAAGCCTTTGTTACGGTCCTGGCAGGCCTTTGGCGTGGTTGAAGGATTGGTCAAGGGATCGATTAGTTAGCGGCCCGCTGCCTTAGTCCTATCCAAGACTAGGCCCACACTAGCGGCCGCCTTAGGTACAAGACCTCTCCGCCCTCTTGTATTCTAGCACTTCTCCTCTTCGTTTTTCTTTCTCGATACGAAGCGTACGATTAGATAGTACTACAATATTATCTCTTTCTAGCCGTAGCATAAAGAAAGACCGACCACTACCCTCCGCTGCGAAGCATTATATCGACCTTCGTTTTCTAATATAAAACTTCGAACTGCTTTTGCTGCAACTCGGAGTTCTTTTCAGGTTATACTAGCTCTTACTCTCTTTACTCAAGTTCGAGCACCTTGATTAAATATCACCGCTGATTTTATAGTCTTAAAGAAAGCTAGACCTCTTTCGAATTGCTACCGCTGCAATTCGACCCTTCTCCTCTTCGAAAAAATCGATTCCTTCTTATACACAAGGCTCTCGCGAGCTCTTTATTAATTGCGACACATATAAAAAAGATTCCGAAGCTTCTTTATTAAAACAGTGTCTGATACTTTTATATAAACTTTACTCGAAAGCTTAAAGTGTGACGACCTTAAGCGATTACCTGAAGGAACTCACGGGAGCGCGGGGGTTTATATGAGAGCTCAAGAGAATCTCAAAGTAATGACTTAGAATCAACAACTACCGAGTGTAGAGGTCGAAAGTAGCTAAGGTCTATATACACGAAGGTAGAAGCGCTAAGGACTCGTGAACCATGGTTTATAGGTCAAAAGCGGGGAATGAGAGAATACGAAGAATACGAAAGGAAAAAGGAGGGAAGTAGCTTGGCGCATGTAAGGTGCGTTCAGGAAACCTAGCGTGTCGTCACACTACCCTTCCGTTTGAAAAAAGCTCGTCTTCGAGCGTCTATCTATTGCTTTATTACTACTCAAGTGATCGTAGTCATCAACACCGTCCGAATAAGCCTTGATCCAGTCGAAGAGCTTCGCGGGAAGGCCGGAGAGCTCTTTGTGTTTCAAGTGGAAGTCACGTACCTTGAAAAGAGCGTACATGAAGTCGGAGGCGAAGTACTAAGTAAGGTTAATATCGCGGTCGAGCTAAGAAGCGCGGTACTCGAGGTGCTTCTTGGTTTGACGCACGGCTAGGATGTTCTCTACTTCGTACTTAAGTTCGCTAGTGATATTAATCGGGTCAGGTTCAAGAATGATTTGCCCGAAAGTAAGGTCATTAAGAGCTTTTCGTAGCCGTCCGGAGTAGAAGACTAGGTGAACTTTTATTGACTCGAAGAGCTTGAGTTTGAAGCTGCTATAGACGTTGTCGGTAACTTCGAACGGTCCGTTCGTAAGGTTATCGAGCTTCTTTGATAGTCGGGAGGTAAAGAACGAGCGCATATCTAACTAAACCTTATCATTAACGTCGAAGTCAACCGAGCGCTTTGATTTATTAGCTTGTTTAGCCATGCGGTCTTGGGCGCGCTAAAGGTGCTCTTTAGCGAGGTTCCAAGCTCCGAGGTAGCGGTTAGCGTAAGCGCGAGCTTCGTCTTGATTAAGCTTGCGAAAAAGGGTTTAGTCGTCAAGTCGTTTTAAGCTCTAATTCCAAGTGGTCCGAGGGGCGTAGCCGTGAATTACCTTAAAAGGGGAGAGGCCGCCGAAAGAGTCGTGAGGGAGCGTCAATTGGGCGAAGTCTATTATAAGAAGGAACTCGCTTCAATCGTCTTGATAGTAGCTTACGAAAGGACGAAGGCGCTTTTGTAAGTATTAGTTGTAGATTTCGGTCTGACCGTCAGTCTTAAGGTGTGCGGCGGTGCTAAAGGTCAGTTTAGTGCCGAGGATTTTATTGAATTCTTTTTAGAACTCAGACCAGTATTAAAGTCTTCTGTCAGAAGTCAGCGTCAAAGGAGCTCTAAAATACTTATAGATATAATAGATATAAAGCTTAGCGAGGCCTTTAGCGTCGATAGACTTGTGACAAAGGATCGAGATTGCTTGCTTAAAGAAGCGGTCGATTATTATAAGAACGTTGTCGTAGCCGTGTTTATCTTTATTAAAGCTACAAAAATCCATAATGACGTGCTCTTAAAGGCGCGAAAGGATCGAGAGAGGTTAGAGCAAGCTAGGTTTCTTATCGCGGGGCATTGAAGCTCGTCTGCAAGCGTAGCAATTGCGGCAGTACTAGTTGACGAATCTAGCTATACCGTGCTAGTAATACTATGCTGCAAAAAGCTTATAAGTTTTGCGAGAGCTAAGGTGTGCCGTAAATACTTGGTCGTAGACTTCTCGGACGAGTAACGAGCGCAAGTTTTAGACGTCGAGAACTAATAAGCGGCCGTCATAAAGCAGTAGGTCGCTTTCTATAATAAGTTTAGCCCGTAAACCGTGGTTCACGGGTGAGGACTCAGCTTTAAAAGCTTGAATTCGAAGTACTGTAAAACTAAGGGCGGTCCGATTAGCTTCTAAGACTTAGTCAATAACTCGGAATGTAAGTGAGAGCTCCGCGATCTCTTTGATAATGACGGCGGTCTCCGAAGGCGTAAGTTAGCGTAGCTCTTCGGTTAAAAGTCGTAAGTCAACGTTATCGGCGCAAAGCAGCGTTTGCAAGCGTTAAGTGCGCTTAAGGTTGTTCTAAGAAAGGAGCTCTTCGGTGCGACGTGTCAGCGCGTTAGCTAAAGGGTTGTCTTTACCTAGCTTATACGTGATAATGAAGTTGTAGTCGGAGAAGAGCTCTGCTTAGCGTGCTTGACGGGCGTTGAGGGTCTTAGAGGTCATGAAGTACTTTAAAGCCTTGTAGTCGGTGATTACTTGAACTTAATAAAAGGAGCTAGCGAGTTCGGCGCGGAAGTTATTAAAAGAGCGTATGATAGCCAGCATCTCTTTATCGTGGACGACGTAGTTGAGCTCAGCGGGAGCTATGGTTTTAGAGTAGTAAGCGACTAGTAGCTAGTCGGGACCATGCTTTTAAGAAAGGACTAAAGCGACTACGCCGTCGGAAGCGTTAGTTTCTAGCATATAAAAGAGGTCTTGGTTGTAATGC